ATTTGTTGCTCGTACTTGCGAATTGGATCTCATTAAATTTATAACTTTTCTATAAGATAAAGTATTTGGTAAGAGAAGACGGGTAGAAAATTTCTTAAGTATATATATAATTATATATATAGACAAATCTTCATGTCAGGCCGGCCTGACGGGATGCTCCGTCCGGTCGAGGACATTTCGGGCACTTTCCAGTGGAATTTTTTGATGAATTTTTTTGAGCATGTTCTTCATGAAGTCTAGTTTATCCTAAAAATATGAATTCTTTCCTAAATTAAACTCCATTAACATTTTATTTTCTCATTTCATATTTCATGTATTATTTCACTCGCTTTTTGTGGATCCGCCTTACCTTTTCTTTCTTTTGAAAGTTAGAATGGTAAAACAACAATTTTATCTTTTTATTTTCTTAAAACTGATGCTAGGCACACATACATCTAACATTATGTTATGAAGGTAGTATACATGTTTCCCGTCATTTGCTATATCACTGTATGCCATTGTGGTCGGTGACACCACCGAAAGATGTCACTATGACCTCTATTAGTTAGGGGTGAAGAAAAAAAAAACCAAAATCAATCGACAAATCAACCGAAACCGGATCGATCAAAATCGAACGTAACTGAATGAAATCGATGCCGACTAACTCATCGACGGTTCGGTTTATGGTTGTACTTTTGGATTAAAAAATGATCGACAAAAACCATCAAACGTGTTAAAACCGACCGAAATTGATACAAACAAACCGCAATTAACAAAACCGGAACCGACTAAAACGGATTCAAGTTGTGCATTGCACATGTATTCATTAGGGAGAGATAGAAAATCACTTCCTAATGTAACTTGCTTCTTAGCTTAGGGTAAAGAATGTGATTTTTAATGGGGATAAGAGTCAGTTTGGTCCTCGAAGTTGCAAAAAAGGGGTCAAATAAGTCCTTATATAGAAAATTCTGTCCGGACGTGCCATTTGAGGTGGCTCCCGGTGGAATTTTTTGATGAAATTTTTTGAGCATCTTATTCATTAAGTCTAGTTTACTCATACCAAATTTCAGATAAAAATTCAATCGGGAAGACATTCAAATGAATTCTTGAAGATAACTGTGCCGTTAAAAGCGCTGTTATCTTCAGGAATTCATTTGAATGTCTTCCCGATTGATTTCTTAGCTGAAATTTGGTATGAGTAAACTAGACTTAATAAATAAGATGCTCAAAAAAATTTATCACAAAATTCCACCGGGAGCCACCTCAAATGGCACGTCCGGACAGAATCTTCTATATAAGGACTTATTTGACGCCTTTTTTGCAACTTGGAGGACTAAGCTGACCCTTTACTCATTTTTAATGTTATCTCCAGTCATTGTATTACATATTCATTCATATGATCGATTGTAAAAATGTTACAAAACATTTGGCTATTCTTACAAATATCTTATAGTAATTGTTGAATATGATGGTAGACATGCAAGGTCCACTGTACTAAATAATTATATTAGGTACTTCATGAAAAAATAAGCTTGAATTAAAATAAGGGTTAAATATATTTTTAGTCCCTGTAAATATGACATATTTTATTTTAATCCCTGTAAAAATATTTTTCTATATTTTTCTACTTTGTTATGATCAGTGATTGAAAGATTGAAAAGAAAAATAATACAGTATAAATCGCAAAGATAAAATAATACTAAAAAATAATTTTTCAATGATGTAAAGCTCGTATTAGTTTTAGATAATGGTAACATTGGTAAGCATCAGATATGAAACACTTGAACACATCTCAACTCATTCTGGACGGGATAATTGACTTGAGTGCTAGATAAGTACACTATAGCTCCCCAGCTCCCCTAAACTTGATAGGGAGTAACACTAACATCTTACTCCCTCCGTCCCAATTTGATAGTCTCGTAGCAATTTACGGTGTTTGACTAACGATAAAACAAACTGATCCCTGTCAACAACCAAATTATTTGTAGTAAATAAAATTTATATATTCAGAAAGCATATTAAAAGTTTTACAAAATCGGGAAAAAATAAAATTTAATAAAAGCTAGATATGTAAAGTACCCTGTAAAAGATTAAAAGTGATTTATGTTAACCAAGTGAATAAGATACAAAACCATCAAATAGGGACGAACGCATTATATGTTATTTTGTTATTCCATATCCAGCCAATGTGGGATAAACTCTTCAAGAAGTTTCATCCACTTTGCCCTTTATTGTTTAAGGCTCTTTTGGTTAAGTGTATATGTGGCCATTTACGAGCGATTCAATTTGTTTACGGTTCCGGCCACTTCAATAAAGTCTATGATAACCTTTTTTTATCATGTTGCGTTTTGGTACCTTAATTTTTAAAAGAATCAAATCAGTATCACGTTACTTATGTTCATCATCACTGTACAGTGGACTCAACACATGGAATTTCGATTGCCATGAAGGACTTTTTGGCAGCAAATTTGAATGATATTCTCAGTTGAAACATTATATCTATGTATAGTTATGATACTGCTTTCATTCCATTGGTCAAGGTACCTTTAATGCATTTCATGGAAGAATGTTCCTAGCTAGTAAGAGAAGAGGAGAAGAAGTATGAAACTATCCGGAGAGCTTCGTACAAAGGCTTCTTATTCTTCTTCTTCAGATACTAAATTAAATGTTTGCATTTAGCAAATTAGATCATTATTCCATAATTCCAAATGCAAAATAAAATGATTTTTTTATTATAAAAATACAATGAGATATTTCGTAATTGCTATTTGTTGTTTTTTACTCAATAAGAAAGAAAATAAGAGGTAAATTGAGACAATGTTTTTAACCTCTCCTGTGAAGTGGAGAACGCGTTCTACGGCGAGGTAAATGGAGACAATGTCAATCAGACGGCGGCTGCCACCCACATCGGCGAGTACTCCAAGGTGAGATCTTCTTCCTCTCTGACGGCACTCAATATTATTTATTTCTTCACCCCAAACTAATTAATTAATCAAAACCAGAAAGTGCCTGAAAGACACTTCAGCCACCGCTGGATCTTGGCGATGATTTATGTATGAAAATGTTCAAAATTCTGAAACAATGTTATAAAATGAATGAATGCGTTGATTAAACTCGCATACAGCTGGGGCGGATCCAGCAATCCTAACCATTGGGGGCACCGATTAAGTAAGAGTGATTTTTTTTTGAATAATTATATACTATATATAAATTTTTATCTTCGAAAGATGAAATAGTGAAATATTAGGAAGACGAAAAATGTTACATGTTGTTACAAATGCTCACGATGAGTTTTCATTTTTTGAAAATGGTCCATCACAATTTTGTTTGTAATGGTATCAAGTACGTCTTTTTCTGACATCCTCTGTAACAAATATATAAGACAATTATTTTAAAACAGATCAAATTAACCCCAAACTAATTAATTAATTCGTTTTTATTGATTCTTCTTCTTACATCTAAAAATATGCAAGTCTCCCCCAATATTTTTAGAAACACAAGGTTAGGCTAAACATTAAGGAAAATTAAGCAAATACGTACTATATGGAAACAAGGATTTAGGTACAATTTAGGTAACTTTAGACAACTATGGACTAAACCTCAAACGATGTAATTAACCTTAATAAACGAACAAGCTAGCTTCTTCCAAAAAAACAAATGATCAATAAAAACCCAAATTCAATGATACCCCTAAAGTGCCGTACTTTATCTCATATATATGGATCACTCAAAATATTACAATTAAACAATTAAAATATACTAGTATATGAATGATGAAATAGTGGCATGAATTAATCATGTCATACATGTTATACATACGATCGATACCCGGCCTCACTTTTAATGAGTACGGTAAGATGGAGGATGGATTGAACGTACCAAAAAAATTGATTTCCTAAAATGTATAATAACGCCTAACTTGCTGGAAAATGATACAACAAATGAATTAAAGAAGTATAACAAGGCGGGCATAATTATTTGAACAGGCGGAAAAGTTGGCGTGCCAAGCAGGGATGGATTTAGGGGGGGCGCGGGGGGCGACCGCCCCCCTTGGATTTTCAAAATTTTTTACCATATATGTAATATTTTCATAGAACTTTCATAATTTAATTAGATTCGCCCCCCTTAGCTTTTAATTTTCAAAATTAATATATAGTCTTACATTATGTAATACTTAATTGGAGATTTGAAAGAAATAACATCTAAAATAATTTACATAACTTAAACAAATAAACAATAGAATAACTCGTTGTTTAAGATTTGGGATACTTATTATATAAAAATTCCTAGTTTTGTAATGTTTAATTATCTTTATTAGATAACAAGTACTGAATTTTGTAAAATATATATCAAATGATATTAAATACCAGACACACTAATTACACAGTATTTAGATCACGTGAAATGATCCAAAATATAAATGTTTATTGAAATTAAAGTACATAATTTGTTTACTTCTTGCTTTCTAAAAAATAATTTATTGCATAGATAATAAACTTTAAATTATTATAGCATTAATACAAATATTAAAATATAATATGTACCATATATATAATATGTGGTGCATATTATCTAAAAATAATAATCCCATAAATATTACTATTGTAATATTAAGAAAACTTCTCATGAGTCATGACTCACGAACACCCTCCTTGGTAGACAAAAATTACAATTCAATAACCGATTCATGAGATTAAACAATGTAGAAGTTATTTAAAATGTATTGGTTGATGTCTTTGTCATTGTCTAAACTTAGAATGTAATAGATTTAAATATCGTTGGGAATGTTTATGTATTAATGTCATTTTTTGAATTAAAATAGCCGCATAGCCCTACAACACCGAAAAAATTCGCCCCACTACACTATGGAAAAAAAATTCGCGCCGCTACATTAATGAAAAATTTTTCGCCATCTACACTAACGAAAAATTTCGCCCCCCTTGAGTCAATTTCCTGGATCCGTCCCTGGTGCCAAGTTTTTTTTTTAGGTGCAGAGACATCCCTTTAAAATAGGGGCATATATAGTATATAAACGGATGACTATTTGAGTGAAGAAAAATAAAAAACTTGTAGCATTGAAGCTTTCCTGGAGTCCTTGACAGTGAAGGCAGAAATTGAAGAGCCTAATAATGGAGGAGATAGGGTTTTTGGGCATGGGAATTATGGGGAAAGCTATGGCCACAAACTTGCTCCACCATGGCTTTAAGGTCACTGTTTGGAATCGCACTCTTTCTAGGGTAAACTTAATTAAATACCATCTATCTATAATTCTATCTAGCCATCAATGTATAAATGTATTGCAAATCAAATTCGATCAGATATTAACGTAGTATTATGAGTGTGTGACGTACTAGACGCCCGTTGATGAATTGAAGATCTACTTCGGTTTGCTATATTTTTTGGAATGGCCACTCATGAGCTGAGTGATGATGAGCCATATATGATCATGAGCATCGGATGTGGTGATTGTACGTGTGGGAGTAAGTGTTGGCCGAATAACTCGAAAATGGACTTTTATAGTTAGATGCGTCAGACGTCGTCTTAAAAAATTATTTTCCGACGTTTGGTAATATATCTGAAGATGTAAGTAGGCACTAGCTCTTCTAGGCTAGAACGGTAACAAAATAACTATGAGAAAGAAGAAAACATTATTGAACTCATCGGCTGATACATATGAGCTCATTTTGTAACGTTGAAATTGGCTAAATCGGATGAATCTGATGAAATTAGTGAAATTCTAACTGATGCGTTTGGATTGGTTGAAATATATTTTATGAATAAATTAAAGAACAATATACTCCGTACTACATAATGACCCTCCACATTAATTTCATCCAATTAGATAGAAATATATCTTCAACGATGTTATTATTTTGATTATTACACAATTCAACACGTGAAAGTAAATGTTACATGTTTGATAAAAAAGATTTATAAAGCTGATAAACTGAAAGGGGTTCTTTTAAACGGTTCATAATTTTGTTTAGTATATAAAGTAGGTTGCAGCCGCCATGAAAGTCTTACTTTTTGCTAAAAATTGGTCTTTGTTGAAGAAAATTCTATGTAGTATTCAATCGTGTTTTTAGAATATGTATTAGGGTTTGTAATTTCTCCCTATTTATAGGACATTTGATAGTAAAATCACATACAAACAATTCTCCCTACAATATCTTATGCGACCCCCGAACTCTAATCTTAATTTCTCTTTTCTCTCGGTAACTTTTCCGCCACAGGAGGTATCGGAATTCTCCTTTTCGTGATCCAATATAATTCGACACTTTACTCTACAAGCACAAACCAAATATTGATTTCACCAACTCGAGTTTGTAATAATCAAATAAATAAATTTGAAGTTATTTTTCTAATTGAATTGGGCGAAGTTGTTGTAAAGTACTCGGTACCATTTAAGCTATTTTTCATATAATTCTTTATTTTATTAATAAAATACTACATATGTTTTAGACATATTTTTCTCATAATTCAGCAGAATCTACCAATTCAATTTCCACGCTACCAAATACGATAGTAGGTTCTTATTTTTTCTCCAGTTGGTTTATTAGGTAATTAATGCAGTAGTCATTGAGCTTTCGTGTTAAGTAAATATGTAATGATCAAAAGATGTTTTATTTCATAAATGCAGTGTGATGAGTTAGTCAAACACGGAGCTTCTTTGGGAGAATCTCCAGCAGCAGTAGTAAAAAAATGCAAGTATACGATTGGAATTGTGTCCGACCCTTGTGCTGCACTCTCGGTTTGTGAAGAGAACCATCAACATCTTGAGATAGCTTTTTCGAACTTCTTTTTCTTTTGCGTAAATTTGAGTACATTTTGTGTGTGTTTAATTTGATTACTGTTAGGTTGTTTTTGACAAAAACGGTGTTCTTGAGCAAATATGTGACGGAAAGAGTTATATACATATGTCGACCGTTGATGTGGATACTTCTTCGAAAATAAATGAGGTATACGAACTACATTCAATCCACTTATTCTTGAAATAGAATTAAAAGTAGTGTCAAATTCAAAAATAAGAGTACTATATTCTGGCTCAAAAGAGGAGTAAACAAAAGTGGAATAAATACAAGTAAAAGTGAGTGCGAATGATATCACTCGTTAAGTCATTTTTTTATTTTAATCAACCCTGCGGCGGCTATAGGCAGGGGCCCTGCCTATATATATATATATATATATATATATATATAGAGGAATGCTCCTGTCCAGACGTCCGGACAGGAGCCGCCGTCCGGCCGGCGGCGTTTGGCCGCCTTCCCGGTGGAATTTTTTGATGAAATTTTTATGGCATGTTCTCCATCAAGTCTAGTTTATCCACAAAAAAATTCAGCTAAAAACTCAATCGGGAAGGTCGTCAAATGATTTTTGCAAGTTAACTGGTCCGGAAAATACATATTCCGGACCAGTTAACTTGCAAAAATCATTTGACGACCTTCCCGATTGAGTTTTTGGCTGAATTTTTTTGTGGATAAACTAGACTTGATGGAGAACATGCCATAAAAATTTCATCAAAAAAATCCACCGGGAAGGCGGCCAAACGCCGCCGGCCGGACGGCGGCTCCTGTCCGGACGTCTGGACAGGATCTTTTCTATATATATATATATATATATATATATATATATAGGGGAAAGATCAAGTACAAACTGTGCTTATTGTGCAAATATTTGTACGATGCACCTTAACGTTCTTTGTATTGCATATTGAGGTTCAAAGTAGTGCATATTATTCAGCCATAAAATAGCAGTTGCACATTAACGTTCAATGAGTTGCACCCTAAAAAAGTTGGGTTTTATTACAAAAATGCTACCTTGGCTTTATATCCTTTGGATCAACTCATCGGATGGTCAAGATGAGTTTGTACTTTGTAAATTAAGAAGGGTTTGTATTTGATTTCTATATATATATATATATATATATATATATATATATATATATATATATATATATATATATATATATATATATATATATTATTTTAAAACAATATGTATTGTGTAAAACGAGATGCGCAATACCCAATTTGAAAACAATTGAATACTTGTATATTCCCTATATAATTATTATTGGATATGATAGCGTCTATTTCCTATATAAATAGCCTATATTTTGATTGCTTATAAAGGCGGGTACCATAAGAGTAATAAGTAGTGCATAACCTTTTTTTTAAAAAATAAAATAACCTTTAATTGGAATCAAATGATAACAAGGTTTACAATGCTCATAAAATGCTTGCCTAGCTAACAGATCAGATGGGCAACCCGATTTGCTGACCTAAACACAAACTTGACATTATACTTAGCAAAACTACCTAACATATTCCTTATATCTTCAAAAATACCCTCATTATAAGAAACACCATTTGGACTATGAATTCCTCGAACAACTAGTTGAGCATCCGATTCTACAATAATTTGGCTCCACTTCAGTCGTAGTTGCTGTGAAATGTCGTAATATTCCTCTTCTCCGGCCAGCTACAAAGTCCCTGTTCTCGTTCCTTGCCACCATGTCTAGCCCTCTCATGTCTTCCTGAGTTTAGTTTGGCAAGCAACATCAACATTAATCATGACCAAACCTAAAGGTGGTGATACCCACTTCTTTTACCCCCCTCATGTGTTGCTATTGTCTCCTGTTATGCAGCCCTTCAACCCGCTAGAACAGATTTGGCGCAAGCCACCACTTAAATCTAATTAGATTTATAAGTTTTCAGACCTACTCGTTCCTTGCTTTTCAAAGGCTTTCAATAGATCACACAAAAGATGACATTTCATCCATATTACAGCTGCCCTCCTACTACAACTCTTACCCACTCCCCAAAAGTCGTCATTGGTCCCTCCAAGAATTTCCTACTTTGACTCTTCCACACCTCCTTTGCAAGTGGACATAATCGCAACACATGCATAGCGCTTTCATCCGTTGAAGCACAAGTTGCACATCTCGGCCATACAAGCATTTTTCACTGTAAAAGTTGTTCCTTCGTAGGCAGATAATTGGTACAAGATTGTTAGAAAAAGTTCATCATCTTTGGTGGTATATTAAGTTTCTAGCTCCAGGTCCAAGCTGGTGTACTAGAAACCTTTCCGATTGAATTTTTAGTTTAAATTTGGTATGAGTAAACTACACTTAGTGAAGATGATTCTAAAAAAAATTCATCAAAACTTTCCACCGGGAACCACCCCAATTGGCGATGGCCGGACGGAGCCTCCTATATAAGGGATGAATTGCACTTTTTAAGTTAGTTCGAGGGCCTATTTGACTCTTTAGCCTAAAATCATTTTACTTTGCACACGACTCCTTCACAATTTTTGGTCTCCTAAGATGTATACATTAATGATTTTAAAAATTGGATACAAAGTCAAATATCACTCAAAACATGGGTTGCAAAGTCAAATGCTCCCTTTTAATTATGTTTAATCTATTTTTTATTATAAAGTGTTGCAAATAAGTTTAATGATAGATTTAGTAAAACTAACAAATCAACTAAAAATGTAGCCGGAATTGATATAGGCAGTTATATCAAGAGGCGGTACTTTCCTTGAAGCTCCAGTCTCGGGCAGCAAAAAGCCCGCTGAAGACGGGCAATTGGTTATTCTAGCTGCTGGGGAGAAGGTAAACATAAAACATGTATGTTTGCCATATTTTAAAGTGCGCGTCTTCGATTTTTTTTAGTATTTGGTGAATTTGAATGTTTCTTTTTCCTGTTTTTTTTACAACTCTTTTTCTTACTTATTATTGTAGGATTTATATAGTCAATTGCTTCCAGCTTTTGATGTCTTGGGAAAGAAATCATTTTTCTTGGGACAGGTTGGAAATGGTGCAAAAATGAAACTTGTTGTGAACATGATAATGGCTAGGTAAAAAAAAGTTGTGTTATGCCTGCTTAATTTCAAATTTATTTTCCGCCATGCTATTGAAGACACATTATGCCTTTTTAAGAGCATCCCGCATGCAAGAGTTTCTAGTTTAAATAAATATATAAAAGACTATTTAATCTAAACAATACATAGGGGATGTTGGAAAAATGTGTGAAAAAATTGCATTAAATGGTAATTTTGGGACAATTTTTTGAGTGGGGTCCACTTCCGATTTGGGTCGGGTCAAAGTGGTTTTGGATTGTCCTTGTTAAGGGCTACAATTCGATATATGGTACGCTCAAAACGGATAACGGGTGAATGAGAAATCGCTTTTCGAAGTTTACCCGTTAAAATGAAAAAACTTGGAAAAAGGATGAGTTTCTAGTGTGTTAATTTCCCACACCGGAAAACCCAAGGGATTTGCAACCCTTTATAAAGGGACTCCCCCCTTATGGAGTTAAGATTCCTAAGGGTAAAGGCTCTCTCCACGCGCGCAGAGGGTGAAAATCAAATCCCGAAATCGGAGAAGAAAAATCGCGACTTGCGTGCGCGGGCGACCTGTCCAAAACCACCTTGACCCGTTCTGCTTCATCTCCTTTCTTGTTTTTCTCTAGTCATTTTATTTAATTAATTTCTTTTAATTAATTTTCTTTATTTTCCGAAACACACCCAACAACACTAACATTAAATATCCAAGTGGAGTTCATTATTTTAATTAAATAAAAATAAGTTATCTATTTACATATTATATTAGTTGTTTCCCTTATTCATATAAAGGATTTGGTCTCCCTGGACGGCTGTGACTTTATATACTACTACCTCCGTCCCAAAAAACTTTGCCATTTCCAAAAATTTGAACCTTAATTTCGATTAGTATAATATTATGTAAATTATAAATTTTATACTTTTATGAAAATACTTTTAACAAAGAACATTTTCATACAACTTTTATATTATAAATAATTTTCGATAAAAAGATATAGTCGGTCAAAGTTTTGAAAATGGCAAAGTTTTTTGGGACGTAGTATAAAGACTAGAAATTTGGTAGACTTACTTTTTTCAATAAATTGCTAAGTCACCAAGTTCATAAGACTTTCTACTCTTGAAAAGTAATCTTCAAATTGCTTAATTATTTTTTGCCCCACTTAGCAAAGACTAGACTCATTGTAGAAGGTATAAGACACCCAATATCTAATTTTATGAGTTAGCATAATTTATTTACACTAGAATATCATGCATTGGGGATGTTCCAAGCCACAAAATTAAAAAGAGAGTAAAACTAATAATCGTTGGCAGTATCCAAGACCAAAATTTTAGAGAGTCATATATACATGACTCATTTATAGAGTCACATAGGCCATATTGACATCACATTCACACTCATTTTTTGTGGGTAATTCTTATTTAAAAATTGTGTAGTGATTGTGATGTCAACATGACTTGACTCTTATTAGAATAATACTCCCTACTCCATATTTCGTTTCGAGCTTCATCATCTTTTAATATTAATCATTTCAATATAATCTTGAAGCTAACAGAACGATTCTAATAGCCTAGTCTTTCTCCTCGCTCATAGCCTCATATCATAATACAAATTCAATAGAAGGCTAGGGTCCATGTCAATATATTCCATGATATTGATAAACAAATCCTGATTTTGGATAATAGATGGGACAAAGCTAAGGACATTTTAATGATTTTGCTTGATTGTTCTCTATTGTGTTGCAGCATGATGACAGCATTTGCAGAAGGACTTGTGTTGGCTGACAAAAGTGGATTGGATCAGCAAACTCTCTTGGACGTGTTGGTCAGCGAGCAAATTGATAGAATTTTTGTAGAAATAAACAATAACAAAAATATTTTGTGATTTTCTTTTATGTTTTTCTTTGTCCAATTTTCATTCTTCAGTTTTTTGTTTTCATATTCCAGTTTTTCAATTTTAAATCTAAAAACACGCTCATCAAATTTTTTACCTGGATCTAGAACCGGCCGGAAGACCAAAAGTATGGTCCCGGTCTGGAACCGGACATGATATAGTCCAAATAGGGTATCCAATCCCGGATGTAGGAAAGTTGGGGTCGAAACCAACCCGCTCCGATCGGTCCCAACGGCTAGTTTGGCAGTCAAACGGCTTTTGTGAAACTCTTCAATTTGAAAAATTGATTTAAAAAAACATGGGCCGGATCGGTATTGTCTGATCATCGATCGGATCGATGCCGTCTGGTTATCGACCGGACCGAGACTGTAGCGGGACAGATCCACCACTAGGCGCAAGTAGACAAATTCATTGCATGCATATGCACTGCAACTTCGCGCATTCCAAATTTGGAAAACTAATAAATCTCACTTCTCTAATTTATTAGGGAAAACCGGGATATATCTTATTTTTCTGTTTTGGAAATGATTTGGCAGACACATTTTCTTGTTTTAATTTCTCCATTTTTTCATCAATTTTTTCAGAATAAGGTTATCCTGTTTTCAAATTTTCATATTTTCAATAAACAAGTCATAAGCTTGTGTTACTTAAAGAATTTGTTTTGGCAGAATGTTGGGCCTGTTGCTAATCCATTGTTCAAGATGAAAGGGCCTACCATGATAAAACACAATTACTCCCCCAGGAGTCCTCTAAAACATTCACAAAAAGACATGAGGCTTGCTCTGGCCCTTGGGGACGAAGTTGGTGTTTCAATGCCTCTGGCCGCAGCAACAGCTGAGGTATTTTATACATACCATTTAGTTCTATAAAAATTTGGGTCCATATGTAAAATATTTGTATCAAATATGCAAGTTACGTTATATTTAATATGTCCACATGAAGGAATTATATTCATGAGAACCCCTACTCAATTTTCAAGTGTGAGTCGGGCATTAATTTTGTTTGAAATAAGCAGATGATATTTGAACTGGAATTTTCACTAAAATGCATGTTCGTGACACATAATCATGTTTTGTTGCGGGTGTAATTAGAGGAAAAGTTAGACAAGAGATCATGAAATTATCGTTAGATTCAATGATGTAGTTTTAATTTATAAATAATACTCAGGTATAAATTTTTCAAATCACATATGCATTATACGAAGTATTAGGGAGATATCACTTGATAAGTTCTCACATACAAAATAACTTATAGCATCAGAATTTAACTTTTATGACACATAAATAATTTCTTATTGGTTATCTTTATTTACTAGTAATTTTTATAGTAAAAATTGGGAATTTTTATATTGTGGGATCAGACTTCGTGCATACAGTGCTCTTGTACAACATAGACGATGTTAATGTAGCTAAATTTTGTGTAACTTCTGTTATCGAAATATTTGGTGTAACATATATGATAGAGTAATATTCTAGAGAGTAGGGAGAGGTGAGAGCTCGAGAGAGAAAGTATTTGCATTCAATGTTTTTTAACCCCTACAACTACCCCCAAAGGGAGTGTCTATAGAGGAAATTTGGGTTGGGCTCCCAGCTTGGGAGGCCCGATTACAATGATGGGTTATTTAAAGCCTGTTTATATGAAGCTATTCTACTAAGTACAATGTGAAAGATATCTATTGAAGATCCTGGCCAAGGTGACCAGGTCGAGGCGACCAGGCCGAGGAGTCCAGGTCATGATGACTGTTCTTGAGCTAAATTGTTTGATCCATGTCTTGAGTTCATTATTTAAGGGAATCTTCAGCGTGGTGGGACCTCGTCTGGACGAGGGGACCCAACCAAGAGGTAGTCTAGTAGCTTGCAGTCCTGTGTGTGTATATATGAGTATGTGTGCCCTGGGTCCAGACCCATATACTCTATCAGGAGTCTCCCACTTTCTGAGTCAAGAGGTGTTGAGGTAAAAGGGAGTAGAGCATCTTGGGTTGCACTTTTTTATTATTGTTTGTGTTTG